TGCCCGACGGGTGGACACTGAGAGCGGTGACGGCGTCCTTATGGCCGCGCAGTGTCTTCTCGCACTGCCAGGTCCTCGTGTCCCACACGCAGACAGTGCCGTCTTCGGAGGCCGAGAACAGGTGAGTGGTCTTAAAGAACTCCAATTGAGTAACGGTTCCCGAGTGTTGCTGAAGAGTGCCGGCGTCTGAACGGCGGGACATGTTGTATATGTGTATCGCCTCATCGGTACTGCCGCTGACCAATGTCTTGGCGGTGGCCGTAACGCACCGAACGCTTCCGCAGTGGGCTCTGTCTGTGAAGGTCTGCTCCAACGCATAGCCGTCCTATAGGGTGGTGCAGACAAAGACATTGGATCAGCTTATGGTGACAATGCCATCGCATACATACGTCAAGACGTTTCAGTTGGTATCCAATGAGAAACTCTTCATACGTGCCGACAATTATCTCCATTCCGGTGTCCCTTCGGGTGATCGACGGTGTCGTCAGTGTCTGAGGGAATGTGTGGCAACTCTTTGGTTTGGGTTTGGGATCTAATTGTGGTGATCAACGGATCAATGGATGTGTTGTGTATTGTTTACCATTGACTGATTGACTGCTTCACCAAAACACGTGAGAAATGACTGCAATTTTGCTCACAATCACAAGCATTGCATTCACTGTACATAAAGTATGCCTCACTTTACCACAACTCCCCCAGTGGGGGACCCCCACAATTGCCCCACAAATACTTTGTAGTAATTATACGCTACTTAAACCCCCCTCCCCTATACACTGATCCCTATTCCCGCTCCCTCTAACCCCCTTCAATAATGACCTGGATACTTGTTGATTGTGATTGATTTTAATTATTGTTTTATAAATTGTAATTTATTTTAAGTTAAATATCCATTGAATGGTATTTTTACTGTTATTATGTAAAGACATTTAAGCAAAAAAAGTTTTGTAACTATAATTGCATTGAAATAGTTGTACGAATTCTTTGTCCTATTATTACAATACTTTAATTGAGAGTAAGTTTAATAAAAATATTTGTTTTATTAATTCAATCGAAATATTTGTTTAATTTATTAAATCAATTGAAATTTGTTTTTTCAATTGTTTTTTAAAGTCTATGGCATAGACTCTATGCTCTCTTTCATCCGTTTAATATTTATTTATATGTTTAATGTATTTATTTAAATGTAATTATTTATAGTTTAAGTCAATGAATGCATTGTTAGTATTAATATATAAATGAAATCTGGGAAAAATTTAGTGATTTAATAGTTATTATCTTTAAATATTGAAACATAAAATTCTTGTAATATTTCCACACATGTTATCCGAGAACTGACTTTAAGTTCCGGTAAAATATTAAATTTTTTATAATATTTCTCATACTTTTAGTTGAAATTTATTTCAAAAG